TAACCCGCAATTTGTCATACAATACGAATGAGATTGAGAGGATGATTGTTTGTCAGGCACGATCTCTGCTATAGACAGTTGTATCTCATTTCCTCAGAATGGCAGAATTGTTGTTCCACAGGTCGCACATCTCTAATTTCAGCTCTAGCCGCGCTTACCCGTTCAGGAATGTCGGAAAGAACGCGAATGGATGTTGGTTCTGTAAGTTGAGTTTACTCAGAAATATCTACGTTATTGAAACAATTTTTGGGAAGTTTGAAGTCGTTGTACCTAAGACTTACTTCTCAATCGATTATTCTCAAATTCCAATAAACGAAAAACTAACCCAATTCCGAATATGAGACTAACAGCATCAACAATGGAAACGAGATCATCCGACAAGCGCTTTGTTTTTCGAACGGCTTAGTGAAGTCGATTCGTCCTACATTCGATAGCACCCGCCCCTGTTTTTGGGGTCAAGTTCAGAAGCCCTTGACATTGTAAAACTTTTATAAGAGTAAAATTGATGCACCGTAGAGGTTTGGTCAAAATTCTCTAGTACCTTTAAGATTGATGAGGTTCACACCGAAAACGTTTTTAGGCTTATTTCAAACAGAAAAAAAAAACGTACTAATGATTGTAACATTACAGTATCTACGCTTTCAAAAAAACTTTTAGCTGAGGGCCATGGTTTTGTCACTGTTATTGAAAGGCCTGCATATGTTGTTTTTTCCCGTTGGCAAATCCGTTGGTTCTTAAAATTGCTTGTACTCAGTTGCTAGATATCCGTTCAAAATCTGCATGATCGCTGTTTTAAACGCTATCAAACACGCAAATACCGGTAGCCTAAAAGCATTTGCACTAGTACTCAATGTTCCTATTGCTATTATGAAATTACACTTTTAAAAGTCATAAATTTTGCTTTTTAGCAAATATCCTAAGAAATTTGCAAGGGTAGATTATGGTAAATTTCTTTCCCACCACAACAGGAAGAGGTCCAGAATCAAATTTTGAGATCGCCCCTATCTGTTGATCTGATGCCCCGTTCTTCTTTCACTTTAACTCATATTGCTCTTCTATACTTTAAATTGGGTACAAGGTCGTTGACTTTCATGTAAGCTTACTCATTTGTATTTTGATCGAATATAAAATTTTGCTTTGGATATATAAAATTTACCAAGATGTGCACATTTAATTTTCTTTCTTATATGATTTGCTCATGAAAGTTTGCAATCTTATGGCATTCATATAAGATGAATTTGAAGGCAAGATGAGAAAAATGTGAGGATGGCAACCGATTCTGCTTTCAGAAGTACTTTTTTCTTGCAATTTTGGATTTGGCAAACATTCTCATCCCATTTTCTGAGCGTAGCTCATTTTGGCCGCTTCATTACGTGCCAGACGCTAAAGGGCCCCATGTTTCAAG